TGGATGAGAGCGCTCCGCCCCCTGCGCGGGCCCGGGGCTGTGCGTGGGGTCGCCTAGGGCCTTTTAAGCCTAGTCTTCAATGTTCAGGCCCAGCAACAAACCGCTATGATGTACATACTTCAAAAGGAAGGAAGATCCACGGAAACGTTTACATCCATACCAGTACTTTCAAGATTAGTAGACAGAATCCTATGAAAGCATATGAATATGGCCTACGAGATACTCCATATATAGAACAGATGTAATTAAAAAACATACAAAACTACCGATGCAAGTAAAACACACAAAACTACATGAGTGGAAAAAAACGAGCCCCACAGCGTTCCCTTCTGTAATTCACAGCCTTCCGGACCGGCTGCCTTTACACTTCTCCTAGCTTGTAAACTAACCTGAGCTCTCCGCTTGAGAACGGGGTGTTGCCATCCTTGGCAACAGAATGCTGAGGACACGGTCTCTCACTGCAAGAGCCCAGATCGACCAGCGACCAGGTCGGACTCTCAACAGATAGCAAACGTTGATGGCAGCTTCCCTCGCTTAGACTGATGAAGCACGAGGCGAGCCGGCCGCCACACCGAGAACCGCACCGGCGGAAGAGCTCGAAACCTGCAAGGCACAATTGGACTAAGCTCTCGAATGCATTGAGTTTGCAGAAATGAGGCTTGGAAGCAGCAGCGACGCGATCATTTTGACTTGATCAAAAGCAGCTTGGCAAGCCGGTCAATCAGGGGCTTCTGCACTCAGACCGGTGTCCCTTGCTTTCCCGGGTCAGCGCTGGCGCTTAATCATCGCAGCAGCAGTGTTGGATTAGGCATGGGGCTATTGCCACTTCTCTTCTTGTGTACTCGTCCAGTACAGATGCACACTGAGGAGGCACCGGCTGGCGTACGATGCCAAGTACCTCGCAGGTGTGAGTCGCTGCCAGCTCGGCTTTATGAAGCCTACGCCCTCGTAAGGTCCAGGATGCTGGGAACCGCAGGGGGTCGTAAGATGAACCAGAGAAGTGGGGTTAGACAGATGCCCAAATTTCAGAGTCTCCTTTCGTGGTGTTGCTTTCCGTTCGGTTTCCCGGTGCAGCCAAACGAAGTACTTAGAGCCTTGCTGTCCAAAGACGGGACGGGCCATGAAGGCAAACTTGCTGTGCGAGTCGTGGCAAAGGCCACGATGCACAGGGACAGGAAGTGGAATCCTCCACTGCAGTGTTGACAATTGTTGATTGGACACATATATTAATGTTAAGTGCCCCTCCGGGATCACGAACTCGTAGGACTCTAGGAAGATCCTGCGTGGTGTACTCCCATGGGCCTTCCCGGAGGATTGGCATACTCGGATAATTCGAGACGTCGCTGCGTGCCGCAGATAAGCGAAGGCAAAGCCCTGTGTTCTTATATGCTGGAAAGATGTCAGCGTTGAGTCCGGAAGTGACTCTGAGAAAATGATGCCTGCCGCACCTCGTACGGCTCGCATGGTCAAGAAAGTCAAACCGCTCCTTTCAATGCAGGTTGCCTCTCAAGCTCAGAAGACGCAGGCATGGCCCCCAGCAGCCGGACGCGTGGTTTGCCTGTACGTGAAGCGCAGCCAGCGAGTGTCGCCGTGCCTTCCAGCGATGGGCTCACTGTACGAGGTGGCACTGTGGACTCCATTGGAGTTAAAAAAGTAATAGCGGAAGCGGCACCAGCAATCACGAGGTCCTCTCAGGGACAGAGCCGCAAGAGCTGAGTGTTGCGGCTTTGCAATGCAAGCTTTGAGGCTATTTGCAGTTGTATGGCATTGGATCAACTTTCTTTGCGCTCCGGTCATGTTGCTTCGCGGGTTGTTTTTTCTGCTATGGCAGCTGCAGCGGCTGGTGCTGATGCTAAATCTGGTGGGAGCAGTATGCGTCCTGTCAAACTTTGTCGCAGCCCGCTGGCATTCTTGTGGACCTGTATCGGCTCCTTCAAGCCTGGGCTTGACACAGATCAAACCCAGGACATGGATGCCATGGTGCTCGCGACGCAGTGCCTTGGAAGAAACGAGTATCCCTGAAGTCTTGGAGCATGCGTAGCAGGAGCTTCGAAGAACCAAGTCCTATTCCTGTGGATATAAGAGAGATGCGTGCTGGTGAACTGACCTGCTGAGTCCTCGCCTGAGGCAGCACCCAGAGCGCTTGCAACAGGCTTGCGTAGCCTCCGCTGCGGTTTTTTCATGCACCTCATCGGCACTTCCGGCTAAGCTCGGGCATGCTCAGGCAGCCTCATCCAGGTGTGCACGTGCAATCTGCTACAGTGAAGAAAAAGTACATAACTGCTTGCAGGAAGCTCTTTTCTGCACACCGCCAAACAGGAAGCTAGCTGTGACAAAGCTGCCAAAGATGGACAGAGAGAGCTGAATGGAGAGTCTATTTCCAAGTTCTGCAGGTCGCCCGAAACCTATCGTTCTCTACCAAAAAATCAATGTCAAGACATTGAGAGGGATTTGTTTGACTTTTGGGTTCTTGCCAGACGACAGGCTGCTTCTGCGCCACTTTGCTGGAAGATGGCAGCACACGGGCCGGGATCTCGGCACACCTTGCGAGAGCTCAAGAGATCCTCCTGCATCCCCAGTTCCCACCGAGTGCAGCCACGTGCTTCGTGGGACCGGGCTACAAGCCGTAAGACTCTGCCACCAACTGTCAGTCTGCGGAAGCATTTCTGTCTTTCTGTTTCTGGCATAAAGACTCAGGCCGCGGACCCCATCCTGTCAGTGACGGCGCCTCGCCTGCAAAGAAACTGCTGCTTCTTGTGTCTACTTCGTTGCACCCCATGCGAGCACAAGTGAAGAATGGCAGCTGTGGGGCGGGTGTATTTGATCTCGGTCAATTTGCACACGAAGGGTAGCAGGCATGCGGAAGATCGAAGCCATTCAGAGAAACTGTTGGACCTAATAAACTGTGCCAGTATAAACCGCGGAATGTGGAAGAGTTCCTAGCAGTCCATCTCTTGATGCCCATTCACTTTGATGGTATTTTTGTGGTGCCGACCTGAACCTAAACTGCACAAACTTGTAGTGAATCAACGAACCGAGAGACCTCGTCTGGCAGTGACCGAGTTGCGAGACAGTACTGCCGCCCCATGAGCCCCAATTGCCATCCACACTATGGCAGGACGGAGGCGGAATCGCATGATATGGGATTATGGTCGGAACGCGCACGAGAGATGGAAAGACGACAATTTGAAATTTCCACTCTGGTGGTGGCACGACCTGATATTGTATTTTCTGATTGCAGGGAATGATGAGAACAGTATACGACAATGGTACGGCCTGCCGTGTCGTCGCAGGGTGCAATGACCACCTGGATCCTTTTCCGAGCGCTGCGACCTGGCTTGAGATGGCTTGAGCTGTGCTACGAGCCGTGCTGTGACAATTCGTGGCGGCCGGCAATTCTCCGAGCTTGGGTTTCTGAGATTTTCTCTGAGGCACACGGCAGCTGCCCTGAAGCGCGCGGGCAGAGACCTAGCATCTGAGGCCAGCCTGCAAACGAAATCAAGCAGGCTTTCCTTTTTGCTTGCGGGACTCGTGCACTCGCCCCCATGCTCGGTCATGCATGCGGATACTTTCACTCTCACTCTCACCCCGAGACCCAACTCTCGCTTGCATAATGGCGAGTGTTCAGCACCTCAGTCCGGGAGAGAGAGAGCGACAGAGATTGGCGAAAGCAGTGGCTCAAGATGATTGCAATATGTTCTAATGGTAGCGATTGCGGTGATGATGGTGATGATGATGATGGCACGTGATGATGGGACGTGATGGTGATGTGGCACCTGCGATGAACATGCTGATGCGGATGAGGGCACATATAATCGTAGCAAGCATGCGTGGTGACTACTCGTAGCAGTTAGCCCTTAAAAAACCCTGGAATCCACGATCGCATACATCTGGCAGACTCTGACAAGCATGAACGTTACATGACAACAGTCCTATACAGCCCTGCTACCATGATCACGGTGATGCCGCTGCTGCAGCTCCTGATTTTGGGTGAGTGGTGGCACCTGCCTGCAGCGGAGCTGTCTGAGGCGCCCATGACCCCGGCTTCCCAGGCCGCAATCGTCAATACCCCTCAAAGGCGGCCAGAGGCCGGCACAGGCCCAGCACGCTTCCCTGCAGAACCTACGACTCATAGCCTGCAAAGGCAGACATGGCGACAGAACTTCGGCCACCTCTCGACAATTCGCGAGACGACGGTTGCTGATGATGAAATTGATGATGATGATGATGATGCTGATGCTGATGCTGATGATGATGATGATGACCTTGATGGTGGTGCTGGAGCTGGCACTGGTGCTGGCTGCGGGTGTCGATGATGTAGATTGGGACGACAACAATGGCGATGATGTTGTTTGTGGGAGACTCCGATGTTGATGCTGATACAGCTTGGCCTGCTTTGCCCCTCAAGTGAGATCTATGGTGCTGCAGGCAAAGGAAACTCAGAGGCTGAGAGACAAGATGTCTCTACAAGATGGGCCCGAGCAGGCCGGTGTGTCGTTATGCTGAATTGAGCATTCAATGTGCTTCGGGTTTGCCGGGATGCTGTTGTCATGCATCTGATCTTCGCACTGCAGGCTGAGAAACTGCGAGGGGAGCTTGAGAAGTGGAAGCGAGAAGCGGAAACGCTGAGGACGCAGGTCGCCACAGTCACGGAAGCCCTTGCAATCCTGAGGTTTGATGGCTCGCCATGTCAGATGGACATGACATGCTCGGACTCCGCAGCATGTCTTGTTCTCTGCACATGGGTGAAACCCAGCATATCCGAATCCCCAACTCGAAGGCAAGGCATTCCCATCACTGCACGTCTGCCTGCAGGTTGAGGCCATACAAAAGCAGGCCGCAAATCAAGCAGCAGAGCAACACGGCACAGCCTAGCCGTGTGCGCCCAGTGCCGTTTGGTACAGGTTGTTGCCGCTTTTGTGTATTTTCTTGTCGGTGGCGATGTTCAGCATGTTGCCTTCTCAACCAGTCGCGCTTGCCGATGGGATCCCCACCTGAGATTGTGAGGGCTGGAGACCGATTCCAAGAAATGCTCACTGCAACAACGCTAGAAAGATGTTTAGCTATATCTTAAACAAGGAGTTGTCTTTTCAGAGGTCTTGTCAGCGTCCTATGCTGACAGGTGGTCGATGGAAATCTAATTGCACCGGGCAGGGCAGCAAACAGTTCCAAAAAGTGATGGTCCATGGTGGGATAAGACAAGAGACACCTGCATAGGTTCTGGTATCAAGCCGTCTCGCAGTTTGTCCCAGACACCACATCTGTTGCCAAGCGCCAGTGGCAGTGCGTTGTTGCTGGACAGGGGAATCCCGTCAAGCATGAGGTATATTCGGCTCGACACCGAGAACAGGCCAGACAAGAGCCCTTGCATCCAGAACGCCTTCAATAGCAGAGTGCATGGCGTCATGTTCGGATCGGGTTGTTTGGGCTGAGCTTCAAAACCCATGACCGAAGATATTGGCCCAAAGCAAGGCTGTCTGGGTAGGGAGCGATGGCTGAAGCAAACATCAGCGGGGCATCAGCGGCGGAGCCTGAAAAGGCTCCACCTGTCGAGACGAAGAGGCACGTTCAAACCAGGGGCCAGAAGATAAATCGAAACATGACGGTGGATCCTGGCTGGCAACTGGACTCAAGCGAGGATGATAAAACGACTTGCTGTTGGGTTTAAGAGGAAGTCCGTCCGGATGTTGACATGCCAGTCGGCTTCGCAAGACGATGAGACTAAAACAATAGACGATACCATTGATTTTGCAGCGCAACGACAAGGGTTATCAAAGTAAGAAATCAAAGTGACAACAGAGGAAGCGTCAGGCAGATGCTTTTCTATGATCTCTCTCATGTCCTAGCCCGAAACCCCTTCCGACCATACAAACCCGGCATCCAAGCCATGAGAGACTACCATAGTCCCGATGCCAGACATTATCAGTCCTTGGGGCACACCCTCTCTTGGGGTACCAGCCTCAGGGTCTTCTCGTGAACCATGCAGGCCGGACGAGACGATAAGTACGGCCAGTATCGAGGGCGCGCAGGCCAGGTTGCAAAGTCGGCAAGCAAGTCGCCCAGGCCAAAACCTGAACCATGAGGAGCCTTGCCTGCTTGTGCGAGTGTGAGAGTCGAAATCCTGAACCATGTCCGAGTCGTGAGAGCGTAAATCC